AACATCTCATTTTTAAAAGATAATTTTAGGTTTTTTTGGATGATTCAATTTGTGAGTTAAAAGTTTAATACTTTTATATGAATTTTTCCAGTATTTTTTTTTGTCAATAATTTGAAAGAATAAAAACAGTGTTTTTGCTAGCAAATTGTTCCTTTCATTCGTTCATACTATATAACGTTTGTTTTTATGTACTCGTTGCTTTTTTTCTTGCAAAATCAATTGATAGTTGTAAAGTAATTTTTATGTTTTTTTGGATGATTAAATTTGGGTTAAAAGTACTTTCTTTGTCAATAATTTATCAGAGTAAAAATATTATTGTTGCTTGTAGTATTGTGTGCACGTTCGTTTGTATTTCTACCAATTTACATATACGTATATGGTTTTAACATGTAATTTTTTAAATATTGAAGGTTCTAGGATGAATAAATTCAGGTTAAAAGTTGAATTCTTTTGTATCAATATTTCATTTGAAAAGGATTGTCAATAATTTGACAAGATAAAAACAATGTTATTCTAAGTAGAATTGTGTGTGTTCATACTATATCGCGTCTATTTTTAAGTAAACGCTGCTTTGTTTTTTTTGCAAAATCAATTCATGGTTTTAACATCTCATTTTTTAAAGATAATTTTATGTTTTTTGGATGATTAAATTTGGGTTAAAAGTAATTTTTTTGTCAATAATTTGACAGAGTAAAAATATTGTTTTTTCTGATAGTATTGTGTGCACGTTCGTTTCATTTCACGTGTCTTCTGTCTCTTTTTTTAGTTACATGTTGTTTTTCTATCAATTTACATATACGTATCTGCTTTTAACATGTATTTTTTTAAAGCTTGAAGTTTCTAGGACGAATAAATTCAGGTTAAAAAATTGAAAACTTTCGTATCAATATTTCAAGGATTCACTTGAAAAGGATTGTCAATAATTTGACAAGATAAAAACAATGTTAGTCAAAGTAGAATTATGTGCGTTCATTTAATTACGTTCATTTCATTTCACGTGTCTTTCCTGTTTGTTTGAAGTTATAAGCTATTTTTTTCGAAATAAATTCACATTTACTATAAAGTTTTTTTTTTAATTTCTTGCTTGAATAAATTTATGTTAAAAGTTTATTTTTTCTTTCAAATTTAAAGAAATTCATGAAAAGAGATATATTCCATAATTTGATAGTATAAAAACAATGTTATTCTGAGTAGAATTGTGTGTGCCTTCATTTAATTACGTTCGTTTTATTTCACGTGTCTGTCCTGTCTGTTTCTAGTTACAACGCTGACTTTTTTTTTGCAAAATCAATTCACATTGACTGCGTCCCTTTTCGCAGAGCGCGTTGAAAGGGAAGAAGAGAATCGAATTAGTCTTAACGCGAGAACAAACTCGTCCTGTTTTTGCTCTACGAAACTAGTTTATCCCGAACCATCCCAAGTTTCCTCCCTACACAATTCAACGTACAAAAGTATTATCGCGAGTGGAAATTAAATCGGGATTCACAGATGCAACCCGTGTTGTTTCCGCCCTTTTAGGCAACGGCTTCTTTTTAGGTGCATGCGTAGAGAAAAAAATTGTGGAAAATCGAGAATCGCGGTCGGCCGTTGGATCAATAAAGCGCTTTTCCTGAAGAGATGTTGAAAAGCAAACGAAATTCTATTGGAGATTGGGTGGTTTTCACCTGAAATGTACAAGATTTTGTTGTAGTTCATAGAGAAAAAATGGATATTAGAGAACTGAAGTCGACCGTCAGATCAATAAAATGCTTTTCCTGAAGCGACTGAAATTCTGTGGGAAATTTACAAGAATTTTTGTCGTTCGTTTTATAATTTCAACGTTACCTTCACAAGAATCATTTCGATTCTGATAAATGGAAATAAATCCCAATAAAGTTTACTTTACGTTTGCAATTACTGCGAACTTCAAAGAGACAAAAAATCGTTGATGCAATTTCCGGAACTTTTACGAAATCCACCAATTTTTTATGTAATAATGTTGCAATATTAAAAGAAAATTGCAAACTTTTTGAATATTGTAATTTACTTTTATATTATATAAGAATTTGAGTGAAATGTAGTTGAAAAATAAAGTTCTTGAAATATTGACAAAAGATAAAAAAGCAAGTTAACATACAAAAAAAAAAAAATTAAAATGTATTTCATATTCAAAATATTTAATTTCAAAGGCTTAAAGAAATTTCAATTTCAAATTTCAATAGTAGTGAAAATTTCAATATAAAAAATAGTAATCAATTATTTGTGAAAGTTTACTCTACAAATAAATTTATGATGATTTTACGTTGCGGTTTGCATAATGAAATATGATTGGTTTGCTGTTATTCTGCAAATTGAAGCGCAAAATATGAGTGGAAAACAGAATTTCTCCCGAGGTCGAAATAATGACGTAAAGAAAATGAAGTTAATGAATGAGCGAATTAACGACGTAAATTTACATACAAATACAACGAATTCGCAATTTATCTAGAATCCTGAATATCCTTTCATAAACTAAATAGAAAATAGAAGAGAACGTCTTTAAATGGAACGTTAATAGTTCAATAATAAGGAAAAGTTCAATATTAATAATAGAGCTATACCTCGAATAGTGCGTGTAATCGGTTCCGCCACTATTTGAAAACTGATAGAAACCGGACTAATCAAGGACTTTAAAATTTATAAACAAATGCAACGAATTCGCAATTTCTCTGGTATCCTGAATATCCATTCATAAACTAAATAGAAAATATTAGAGAACGTCTTTAAATCGAATCGTTAATGGCTCAATAATAAGGAAAAGTTCAATATTAATAATACAGTTATACCTCGAATAGTGCATGTAATAGGTTCCGCCGCTATTGGAAAACTGATAGAAACCGAACTAATCGGGGACTTTCAAATTTACATACAAATTCGCAATTTCTCTGGTATCCTGAATATCCTTTCAGAAACTTAATAGAAAATATAAGAGAACGTCTTTAAATCGAGTCGTCAATGGCTCAATAATAGGGAAAAGTTCAATATTAATAATACTTTTATAACTCTAATAGCGCGTGTAATCGGTTCTGTCACTATTTGAAAACTGATAGAAAACGAACTAATCAAGGACTTTCTATCAGCAAAAAATTAACCTGTTCTTAATTATTATATATGTTTTCATATATAATAATAATTAATAGATGACTAGAAGATAGTAAATTTGTAAAATATAAATCAGAAAAAGAAATTAGAAAATTCGTCGTATCTCAGTTAATAATTATCATTATGTAACAATTGTTATATGAAAAAAAGCGCAATAGAAAACCCCTTCTGAACAAATAATAAAAATACATAAAAAGTTATTAGAGTTTTCGAATTAATCCGTAAAATGTAAATGCAAAGACAAATTCTAAAAATCTTTGTATCTGATTATCGTTATGTAACAAATGTTATATCGAAAGATACGTAATAGAAGACACCTTTCGATGCAATTATAAAATATACAGAATGTTTATAGGTTTTTATGTGAATTACATTAACTGTGGAAATACTCAAGGACATAGTTTTGTGTTTAATTTGCATATTAGATGTTATAAATTTGTAATTGCTATGGAGTTTTTAGATTGAGATTTATATAATGAAGAAAAATAAGCAGTGCAATATATCGTTATTATAATGAACTTGAGGAGGAATATGAGTGGGGGGGAAAAACAATTTCCCTCGAGATTGAAATAATGACGCAAGAAAAAAGAATATAAGAGAAGCGAAAAGCATACTCATTAAGTTATCCGAGTAAATTTGCTCACAAATAAGACGGGGAGAGCACAGCATTTCTGCGGCATCCTGAATATTCAGTTTCAAAAAGTCGTAGCAATTACTGAAAACTAGGAGAGATGCAAATATAGGGCAGAACGTAATTAAATCGAATCCACGACAATAGAGGGAAAAGTTCAAGTATTCGGCGTATCGAGACGCGTCATCCCTTTTCCAACAATCAGAGAAAAGTCATGTTCTCGACGAACAAAAGAAGGCACGCGCTGAAAACGCGATGTTAAATAACCAGACCGAACTAATTTAAGAAATTAAAAAAAAATCCGCATCGTAAAATCAATTAACGCGCTGGACCCGGTGTAAATATTTAGCTTTCCCGCAACGATCAAAACATTTTCCGCTCCAATTCCGATACAACCATTACACCTTTCGCCGTTAGAAACGGGAATAAAACTGGCGTGGAGAGAAGAAGAAGAAGAAAAAAAGTATATGGAGAAACAAGAAGGGAGATACAATTAAAACGGATTCCGTGTAAACAAACACAAGGCGTGTTTGCGCCTTGCAAGTTTATCGCACCTTAATTTGGTGTATTCCGTTGAGGTCAGGGGAGGTCCGACAAGCGCCAAGCGGAACAGCGGAGCCAAAGCAAACATCTGAATTATTTGCTTCCTCAAAATTTGATTTTCTTTTATAATTTAGCATGTAGAGATGCTCGTGCGTGCATTGCAGGCGAGCAGCCAGATAAAACAAACCGATTTCTGTTCGTAAATTTTCACGTCCCACGACGTAAAATTGGGAATACTTTAATAATTAAGTATAGTAAAACAGACGGGTTTGAAAAAGTTTTATATTATGTGAATCATTCAGGAAAACCGAAGAACCGGCTGCAATTCAATGTTGGGTTATTCAATTACTACGGCAAACAGTAGCGTTCAATTAGCACGATTTTGCTCAATAAAACAAACATGGATGATGTTGATGATGATGATGTCGAAGAAGAGGAGACGCCGAATGAGGTCGAGTTGGATAAGAATGGATGCTGCTATTATTGTTTGCTACTAGCGAAACAACACTTGGAAAACCTGAGCAAACATGATGATGCCATTCACCGCGGTGCTAATTACTACTATCTGGATGAAGATTGGTGACATGTGCGAAAAGGGGTCCGCTTCGTTCACTTTCAAACGAGCGGAGCAACAATTGTTATCCTCGGAAATCCCGGATACGGTAAATCTTAACTTATAGATTGAACGAATTATTATAATCCTTACCTTCAAAGAAGCCATATCGGAGACCGAGCGATGGGTCTGGATGGTTTCCAATTGATCCAAGCACCAATCCAGCTCCTCCATTGTTTCCAAAGCCATCTTCATGTAACCCTCATCTGCGGAAAGCCAAATATACATGCATTAACTGAGGTCGCCATTCGGATGGAAAGATGCCAATTCTAGCACTAAATTTGGCAACCGAAATACCAAACGCAATTTTTCAACAAATAGTTATTCAAATTAATCAAATAGTATAAAACACAACAGGTTTAATGCACATTTGCATAACTAAAAACGCATTTTTTTTTGTGTATATTTGTTTAAATAAATTAGCTTTTCCGATGCGAAAACAAAACTTGTAAAAACCCACCATTGACTGTGGTACGTAATTGAATAAATATTTTTAACTAATTGCATACAAATATTTAATTGGAGGCTTGACAAACTATAAATTTGAATTATAAAAAAAAAATCGAGCACTAGTTAGTAGGAACGGAAATATGCAACTTTTATACAATTAATCTATTTTTATGCGCAAATTAAAAATTTAAATCAATTAAACAAATTTTTGTGTGTATATTCACTTCACTGTGGAACGTAATTTGATTTTTTTTTCTAATTGCATAAAAGTTTTAATTGGAGGCTTGAAAAAACTATAAATTTGAAAACATGAAAAATTGTTTTATAAAAAATCGAGTGCTAACTTTGTTTTATTCAAATTATAAACAAATCGAAAAATTTTATTGAAAACGCAATTAAACATTTAAATTAATTATTTAATTTTTTCTATATTTTTTTCAGACGCATAAAAACAAAACTTAAATAAATGTTTTCTAATTGAATAAAATATTTAATTCGAGAAAATATTTAATTCAACGAATTACAAGTTTTATGCACATTTGTATAACTTGAAACGAAATTAATAATGTAAATCAATTGTAGAATGTTTGTGCGTATATTTGTTTAAATAAAATTGTTTTTCCGATGCGAAAACAAACCTTGTAGGAACCTATCATCGACGGTGGTGCGCAGTAAGATAAATATTTATTTCTAATTGCATACAAAATGTTCTTTTTTCCTTATAATTACCTAAAAATATTTCACTTCGAATTTGAAGGCCTCAAAAATAATCAACAAAAAAAAATCGATCTGTACGAATAGAAATATCCTACACAACTTTTCAACAATTATGTATGAAAATTAATCAACTAATATACAAAAAAAAATCAATATTTTTAATGCACAATTGCGTAACTTAAAGCGCACTTAAAAAAAATCAATTAAATATTTAGTTTTCCCATGCAAAAACAAAACTTGTAAAAACCCATCATAGACGGTTGGTATATGTTTTTCTAATTTAATAAAAATATTTAACTTTGCATTTGAATGCAAAAAAATATCAATAAAAAAAATCAAGAAATAACATTAACCTAACATTAAATAACATAACGGAGTGCATAAATGATTGTATTACGACAAGAAAAACATTTTCATGTTAACTAATTTTTACTTTTTTTTATTATAATTATTCATAACTAGTTGTAATACATTAATATAATAATTTCTGAATTTGTATTGTCCTCATTGCCCTCTATATAAACGTGAGTAGAGGTATCAGCACCGTCTGCTACTACACCAACAATGCAGAGCAAGAACGAATATGAACAAAACAACTTCTTTGTGCCACAGTCAACACAATGTTGCACCAACACTTTGGCCATAAGTTACGTAAAGTGTCATAGATGGGGGAAATAAAATATAGATGTGGTATCATTTCTTAGAAAATTGGTGTACTTTTGCACCGGCGCGAGTCACCAATTAAAAACGGAAAAATCCAATACAATTTTCCAACAATTATTTATTCAAATTAATCCATTCATATAAAATTTTTGAATGTGTAATCATTCAAATGTATTTAAAAAAAAAATTGAACATTAGCTTTGTCAACGGAACAACACGATATTGCAAATTATCAATAAAAAAAAATCGAGAACTAACTTTATAAACTGAAATATCCCACAAAACTTTTTAACAATTATATACAAAAAAAATCAATATTTTTAAAGAACATTTGCGTAACTTAAATTTTTTGAATGTGTAATTGTTTAAATAAATTTGCTTTTCCGATGCGAAAAAAATAATTGGTAAAAACCCATCATCATAAACTGTGGTGCGTAATTGGATAAATGCATTTATCTCTAATTGCATAAACATATTTAATTGGAGGCTTGAAAAACTATGAATTTGAATTTGAATTGATTTTACAACAAATAAATTATTCAAATTAAAAAAATAATAATTTATACGAGGGGTCCAACAAATGTTCATTAATTAATTTGTTTCTGAACAACAAAAGTTGTTTGTCAATTTGTTAAAGTCTAATGATATTTCATGTCAAATATTAGTGATGTAAGGTCGGTAGAAATACCACCACCAACATTGCAAAAAATGACATAGAAAATTGTAGTTGATTAAAAAAGACAAGTTTTCGTTTTGCCCAATATTACTTGGAAACATTTGAAAATCTAGCACCTTTACAAAAATCGTAATAGGTGATGAATCTTGGTTCTATAAGTACAACACGAAAATCTGCTGTTATAGAAAGACAACAAAAATTATCAACAAAAGTAATGATGTTGATTTATTTTATCAGGACAAAAGATGTAGCTGATATCCCACTAAAACTGGTTACCATCTGAACTGACAAGTGGTACATAGAATCTTGATTACCACAAGTTTTCTAAAATGTGTTGGGAAACCAGAAAAAAAGGGCAACAATGTAGACCATGGAGTTGGCGAGGAAAGCTTAGCTCGGCAGAGTTAAACATGGAGAAGAGTATTAGTTAAACAGTATTAATAACAGTTCTATGTAGATATGTAGATGCCATTTTGAATCCCCAAATCGATTTCTTCCACACAACTTCGATGAAAACAGGGATTTTGAGGAATATTTGTAAGGTGGCTCTACTAAAGAAATGTATTGAAATAAATTGAAATTATGTAGAAAAAATATTAAAATAAAATTGTTTTTATTTTGTTTGTTTTTCTAGCTAACTTGTGTAGATATATGTTAATACATCATACTTTGTGTAATATAAAACGGTATTACGGTATAAATATATATTTTTTTTTGCATATTTATTTAAATAAAGTTACTTTTCCGATGCAAAAACAAAACATATTTTTTTTATTCTGATTTTAAAAAATATTTAATTTCAGGAGAGAAAAACTATGCATTTCCATCGAAATAGTTCATTATTAATAGGAAACGATTGAAAATTGATTGGAATTCGCCAGTGTCAAAGGTGAACTTATACAGAATGCAGCTAGCTACCAAATGGAACCCGAATACGGGCGAGCCATTGTCCTTAATTAGCACTCGACTCGTTTGATGATAATTTGCGGGAAGGACAATTGTCCCATGCTCACCGATCACAAATTAATAATATTTCGTGCCACACCCATCATCTTTCTCTCTCTCACACACAAACACCCAGTCCATTTCCCCGACCCGACCAAAAACCAATTCCAATTTCGGAATTCCCATTTGCGAATTCAATCGTCCCTACGACGACAACAAATGAAGAATATGCATCGAAAAGCAATTTATTTCTTTTTATAAATTTTGATTTCAGCATTGCAAAATCACACACACAAAAAGGAATGCGACAGAAAGTATTAACAAGTGGCACAAAAAAGGGTAGAAACTTACCACCGGGGACGTAATTTCTGGGCTGCGGGGTTGGCCCAGCGGCGGCTCCGGAGGATCGCCGAGATCTGAAATAATCGAATCAACCTCAATTATTCACGAATTTAATTAAAGCCAAAAATTTCATTTAAACTAAATACTAATTAATCAAAACTTATTTTACTTAAAAAACTACAATTATTTAACCTTTTAACACACATTTTTTCATTGAAAATATTGCTGAAATTGAATAAAAAATTATAGGCAACTACATTTTAATGTGATTAGATTTTTTTTAATTTTATCTATGTTAAGTCATTTTGATGTGATCACAGCGCCATCTTTAGAATTGATAAAAAAACTTTTTTTCTTTTGATTTGATTACTTTGAATTTTACTCCAAACAAATTTCTTCCGACTTATCAATGTTGTATGAAAAGACTTTCGAGTTTAATTCATTTAGGAAAATTATGTCGAAGTCGTTTACTCTTCGTTCAGAACAACAACAAAAAAAAACGACGAAGTTATCATAATTGGGAAGGAGCGACTGAATGGAAGAAGAAGAGAAAGAGAGAGAAAAGTTTCCTTACAGCGCGAGAAATGTTTGCTCGCTGGTTAAAGGACGAGGAAACACGGCCGACATCAAAGGAAATATTTTCATCAATATTTTTATTTTCCTAAATAAAAATAGGGAGAAAATGGAATCAAGTTATTTTTTGTTGCTCTTCTTCATAAAAAAATGCTTGTTTTCCAATTAAGAGTATAACCTTGAGACACATTAAAGCGAAGAGTTACATCATACTTTTTTAAATTTCATTAACGCGATCAGCTGGAAACGAGCTCGCTTTTGTGTATAATTAAATGTTTGTATCTGATTCAAAAGCGAAAAACATGTTTGAAGTCACGCAAAACGATTTGAGACAAATTAAGGTTTCTTTTAAATATCTCTTTTTTTTACTTACTTGTTGGTGGGCACATTGGTGAGTGAGAGGAAATTGTTGCGGACGCTCCGGAGACTGGCCAAAATTTGTGCAAACGGTGTGACGATAAGATCCTCTCCATGGCTGTAAAATTAAAAAAAAAACAATATTAAAATATGTGTAGGAAAGTAATTGAATTTCTGTTTTGTTTTTTAATGAATTAATTAATTAATTAAAGCACTTTTAATAGCTAATTATAAGTAGCACTTTCTTATATTATATTGTGAATTATTCAAAATATAAGTAGATTTTGACTGTTCTTTAGTTCAAATAAATTGTTAAATAATGACAAGATGTTGACCAGTGTGTAGTTGTTTTCAATCTATTTAAATTATTATTAATTAACACATAAAAACAACATTCTTTCTTTATTTAATTATAAAAACGTTTCATTTTTAGAAACATATTTTTTAATATTCAATTTTTATAAGATTTTTTAATAGCTAAATAGAAAAAATACATATAGCGACATATTTAATATTGCAAGGAAAATTGCTTCTCGAGCAACGAAGAACTCGCAAGTGGATTAGTATTGGATTATATTTTGGTGCAGGTTAAGTCTAATATCTACCAATATCGTACAACATTAAAAAAACCCTCTCAATTACGACGAAAAATTCATTAAGTTTTCAATAGAATCATATTGTTTTTGACAAAAAAAATGCATAAAAATTATATTTTCTTTCCATGATATTTTTTTACATTTTTAAGTTTTTAAAGATATTTGTTAGCAGATAAACTATAAGAATTATGATTTAATTACACTAATGTTACTAGTGGATGCGCCGGGTTTATATTTTTCAAATAAATCTTTTACATTGAAAAAATCTATTAAAAAATTATAAATTATTACATTTTACAGATTTTCTAGAAAACTCTTTATATAATCAAATATTAAAAGTAACTCCAATAAGTCCAGATTTATAACATTTACCGTTCTTTTACAATCAATTGTTAAAAGTTAATAAGTTAATATCTTCACAAACTTGAGACCGGGGGTAAAAGAAATTGAAACAAGATGGAATTACGAAATGACAAAATCCTTGAAATCTACTCGATATGTTTCGAGTGGCAAGAAACATGTGTACATCTGTTATTTCCAATAAAAAGGATAAGATTCTGAGTCCTTATACAAATATACATTCCATTTAGATATCTTTGATTGATAAACAAGATTTGGAGTAAATACACAAATTTTAGTACAATCCAAAAATAAAAGGCGTAATTCTAATTTTGATCATACAAACTTTATCATTGTCCTACCAAAACTGAAATTATATAGTTAAATTATGTTTAGAAGTATTGATGGTATAAAATTCAGTACATTTGACAATTAATTTATAAAATATGTACATAATATTCTTGTCAGTTACATGCATACATTACTTGTCGCGTTGCGAGTAATCTGATTTACATATAAAATTCATGTAAAAAATGTGCGTACCTTTGTTGTTAATAAATTGAATAATTTACTTATCAAAGTTTGTTTTATGATTATTTGGTTTCAAGTGAATTTTTCGTCTTTATTAGACGAGTGAATAATCTTCTTGTCAATTACTTGAATAAGTTACTTGTCAAGTATCGTTTCGTAAATAAACAATTTTATTTATCCAATTTTACGTAATTTTAATTTTAATTATTTGAATAAGTTACTTGTCAAGTATCGCATCATGCGTAAGTGGATTTAAATAATTTAATTTGTCAAATAAATGTGTTATCTTCTAGTCAACTATTCGAATAAATTACTTGTCAAGTAATGTTTCGTGAATAATCCGTAAGTGGATTTAACTAATCGGATTTATCGAATAAATGTGTAAACTCTTTGTTAATTACTTGAATAAGTTAATTATCAAGTGTCCCATAGTAAATGAATTTAGATAATTGGATTTATCAATTAATTAAATTCATTTGTCAATTGTTTCAATAAGTTACTTGTTAAGTAACTTAATAAATAGATTTTTTTAAAATATATCAATTGCGTGTATAAATTACTTGTCAAGTATCCCATCTTGAGCAAGTGGATGCAAGTGGTGCGAAAATATGTTGTCAATTACTTGAATAAGTTACTTGTCAATTATTGCGTTGTTAGAAAGTGGATTCAATTAATTCGATTTATCAAAAAACTTAGTTAATCAAATATTGCTTCGTGATCGTGATAGAAATGAACAAATTCAAGTTATAAAATGCTTTTAACGAATTATATTAAATAGATAAGTAAATGTTAAATAAAAATACATATTTTTGAAATAACGTAACTTTCAATTCGCAGTAAAAGCAAGATTTCGTTTTAAATAAACAATTAGATCAACAGCTTAATAATCTAGTAAATCGCGATAATGAAACAAAAGAAAAGCATAAATAAATGTCAACGAAAATTAAACATTGGAAACAGAATAAAATAAAAGAAATAAATCTTCTTGATAGACTCAGCGGGAAACACAAATTACTGTTAATTAGAATACTCGGAACTATTTTTTCTGGTATTACCGCAATTTGTATGTAAATGTAATTAAAATTGTTTGGAATTACCGCAAATTACCGTGTGACTTGTCAAATGATTTTTCTAGATCAGGGTCTCCAACTCGCAGGTGTAATGGTAATGAGAGATCACTAGGTATCAAAGGTTTAGATCTTCATGAATTTGTGAATGAGGATTCCAAGAAATTGACACAAATTGAAGAATAATAAATAAAATTAAAATTGCATAAGTGTTACTATGATTTCCACATGATATAGCCATGATTTTGGACATTACATTACACGTTATCTATGCATAACTAGATTTGTAAATGAGAATTCCATGAAATTACCACAATTCACACAACAACGACTGCGACTTGTCAAATTACTTTATTATTGGATAAGGTGCACTAGCGATTTGGAGCAATACCTGTACACGTTATCCAGAGTATTTAGTTCATCTTGGGTTAACAAAGCATCTGCGGATGAGGAGTCCATGGCCAGGATGTCGTGAGGAAAGACTAGGAATTTTTTGGCAGCACAGTTGACAGGACGAGACAGTGAAAACAAAATCAAACACTTCCTAACGTCACGGAAATGAAACGTGTTATTACATTGTAGATTTTTTTTCAAGATAAATCGATTTTGAACCATTTTCATTCATCGTCTCATTAAATTTCCATCGACAAACCGTGCGATTTCCGTGGATCTATTCTGGTCTCAAAACCATCATCATTAATTCAAATGCGGATCGGTTTACATACGGAATCGCAAACAATAATTTGACTGCATAAAAATTCCAGGAATTAAATCGCAATTTACGCAAAACTAAAACTAAACTAAAGCAAAATGTCCTCACTTTCCGGAGAAGATCGATCTCCTTGATGGTGCGCTTTGTTGGCCTACGGCATAGAATAAACACTGCCTGCATACATAGACCAAATGCAAATTTCAATTAGGTAAATTTGAGCTTTATTTATTTATTTTGGGGGCTTTGATGTAAGTGAGTACCACCGGTCCAACGGCACTCGAGGCCATTGAATCCCAACTTAAATATTAACTTCAATTTATTTAATGACTCTCGTCTCTGCCCGGCAAATCGATGCGACCCTTCCACTTGATTCATCCCTTTTTTTCGTCTTCATCTTTTTTCTTCTCCGCTACCCTTTAATCTACCAGGGTGTCTTTTGTTCCCATGGCAACGGATGGCTTTCGCCGTAGCAGATGTAATCGAAATGGAAATTGTGAACAGCTTGAAAGTAATTAAATGAGAATAAATGATTCCATTCATTCTGCCTAAACGATGATGTGCAAAATACTGCCGAATTACATAATCACTTCTCGATTTACGGCGGGGTCCCGTTCCTCAACTTTGGATATAAATCGAAATGTTCGTAAGTCGAATTTATATGCAAAAGCGGATCTTTTGAAAATAAATTATGGCTTCCAGTTTTCATAGTGGAAAATTCATTTCACTAGTAAACATATTGATTGTAATGGAATGTGCGGCTCCCTTGCATGGTTTTAACAAGCAAGTGGTTCATTGCTCCAAAAAGGTTGCCGATTCTGTTATGGAATATTTGAAGAATTTGTAAATAGTCATTTTTTTATTGTCGTAAGTCGAGATAGTCATAAAATACTGTAATATAATGAGTCCTTCGTCCACTTAAACTTATATGTAGTATACATTTTCAGTAAATTCTCATGAAATTTTATTGAAATTTAACAAGGATAGTTTTCCGTGCTGAAGAGGACATTATTAACGAAGGTTTCTAATTTCCGTATGCAGATGGTAATACCATTATGCGCATCCATTAATATCAATAATAATATCAGTTTCGCCGCAATCCTGAAACACGAGACTGAAACAGATTGCCTAAATTTATCAAACGCAATTCAGAGAAGCTACGCAAACTCAATCAGAAGCAAGGTTGTAGTTCAAAATGTTCACTACTTTCCTGCTCCGCACACAATTTGCAATTAGAATAACAAAGAGGCGACGATGTTCCAACTAACATGGTGCTGTGAGCGTTGTGTGTGTGTGTGTTTGAGGGCGGGAAAACACAATGCAGCTTGGAGTAGCCAAGCTTTCTTTGCGGAAAACATGCCTCGAGTCACGTACTTGGCTTCACGTTTATTAATAAAACTTGTTGTAATCCTGCAGCAGGAAGCTCCGACGCGCAGATAACGAACGAAGTCTGTGAACGAAGTAAAGTTCCCTCATGTTCACAATAGACACGCATCAAAAGCGAAGATTTGATATCTCAGAGGAAGGGAAGAAATGAGTAACGATGCTTTCTTTCTCTATGTTTGCTTTCGTTTTGTTGGTTTAGATTTTAATGCGTGCTGTGGTAATTCTTTTATGGGACAATAAATTTCATATTATCTGGATAAACGTGAGGCCGTGCGGTGTATGTTTGTACTACTCTGACGAGGAGGAATTTTCCACTGCATGAAATCATGTCTGTGCAACATCGCGCCAGGTTGTTTGTCTCCATACAGTTCATTCATATCTGTTGTGTTTGCTAAACCCTAATCAAACTTTGCCTAGCAGCCTTGAACTGACTACTAACAAGTTCATTACAATCCGAGTGTTAGCACCTCAATTACATACCTTTGGATTT